AAAAATATATGAATACGAATAAAGAATTGCAAGTTTTGTAAGATAATACTCACCAATAATGGATGTCAAGTGGGCATATGGCCATTTTGACTCATGGTTCAGAAGGATTATATCACAAAAGCACGATATGTTATCCAAATCTCGGTTCACACACAGCGGAACAGACTGAGACGATGTAAGGGATGCTGGGACCGCGCCACGTTGTGCTATGCACGACTATGCTCTCTGTCCCATAAAGTAGTTCCCTTCGCTAGCAGCGACAATGTATTGCTGACGGTATAACGAAAGAACGTGGACCAAATCGATGTTAAGAAAGGACTCCCTGTAATCACCTATCTTCACTTCCCTGTGTCTCTCAAACCATTTCCTAACACATCTCACCATTCCCATGACTCTCTCTCCACTTTGCATCACCTCTCCGCATCGCTCCTCACCTCCATCCATCTACCACCACACATCCAGTGCTCCACATAAGCTCCATACTGAGGGTTAAATGCCGCGTAAAAATATGAACTGTGTATCAGATTTCAATTTCATCGGTAATACACACAACAGTTGTGTTATGTATTATATAATTTTGCAGCGTCCTTGTCTATAAAGAACGCACTGTTCAACAGAATTGGTTCAAGCAAGCCTGACTCCACTGATGAGGCATTGAAGGACAAAACAGGTTCAACGATTCTCGTGCTGCTGAAATTATTCAAAAGGCGTGCCGGCTTATGAGATATGTAAAAAGCACTTTTTATACATGCAGGGACAGGTATGCAATGGAGGCATATTGTCTGTATATTTATTTTGTTACTTAATATTCTGCACGACGGCGCTAATGATTATTTTGCGTTGTGTATATCCAATAGCAGCTTTGCTACACAGCATTATTTTGCGTCACTGAAAATAGCCGAGCATTAAAATGATCCTCGGGGCCCATGAAGGAGTGTTTGGTGCCTGTATACCGCAAGTCTGCAGTATGAAGTTTGTATTTATTTTGGATTAAAAAGAATACGTTTTTGAAATAGTAATAAAAACATTCCCAGTGAGAAATGTTCTCGGGTTTGTAAGACCAAATTTTTTGTACAGTAAGTCAAAGTAATATTGCAGTTCAATTGTAAGGCTCCAGTTAATGAATACCCCGTAATTGAGCATTTAATAAATCTACAGTATGTATTCAAATTACCTGTGAATTCAAGGTAACATTCTATCCCCTGTGAAAATTGGCAGACAACTCAAAAGAGCCAAAACTTTATCAGCAATGCTGTCTGCCCGCATCCCTTCCCCTCTCTTCACCTCCCCGTGTTTCTCTTCATGTTCTATCACCTCCCCATGTCTTTACTCAACTCTCATCGCCACCCCATGTCTATCTGCACGTCCCATCACCGATCCGTGACTTTTTTCATCACCTCCCCATGTCTCTAATCATCCCCCATTATCTCCTTCCAAGCTCTAATCGTCTATCCTCACCTCTCAATCACCTCCATATCTCTCTCACCTACCATGACCTGCCCATGCAATTCTTAACATCCCCATGTCTCTCATCACTCCCCATCACCTCCCCATCTCTAATCCCACGTTTTCAGTCTTTCTGATTTGCGGGTGTTTACGTCACTGTCAGACTAAAATATAGAACTTACTTTTACTTTTCGATTTAAAGCTTTCGTGACTGCAGGGATTCATCTTCTTGGTTCTTTCAGTAAAGTCACGAAGAAGGGAAGTAATAAAATAATAAAAATAAAACATAATAAAATAATTCTCACGACGTTTCTGCCACAACGCAAGCAGCCGTCCTCAGGTGAAGACCAGGTCTGTCGGGGAGACAGCGTCTGAATTCAGACGCTTATTTTATTACTTTTACTTGTACGTCACTGGTTAATGGCACCTCTTGCTGTCATTATATTTGCACAGATTTTTTGTTTCATGTGTTTTTCATTTTGGACCATCGAATACATCCTACAACAATCCTTAAGGCCCCATACTCGTTATCTGCGAAGTGAATATTTTTGTCTTTTGTTTTCATTGTTGTTATGCTCTTGCACCACGGATGTCCCTTGTGAAACAGCCGGGCAATTGCCTAAACAGGAACATTCTTTTAAAAAATAAAATAACAAAAATGAATCACCTCCCCATGTATCTCACCACCTCCCATGTCTCTCACCACCTCTCATCACCCCCCATGTCACTCACCACCTCCCATCCCCTCCCATGTCTCTCCCCACCTCCCATCCCCTCCCCATGTCTCTCACCACCTCCCATCCCCTCCCCATGTCTCTCCCCACCTCCCATCCCCTCCCCATGTCTCTCCCTACCTCCCATCCCCTCCCCATGTCTCTCACCACCTCCCATCCCCTCCCCATGTCTCTCCCCACCTCCCATCCCATCCCCATGTCTCTCCCCACCTCCCATCCCCTCCCCATGTCTCTCCCCACCTCCCATCCCCTCCCCATGTCTCTCACCACCTCCCATCACCCCACATGTCTCTCACCACCTCCCATCACCCCCCATGTCTCTCACCACCTCCCATCCCCCTCCCCATGTCTCTCCCCACCTCCCATCCCCTCCCCATGTCTCTCACCACCTCCCATCACTCCCCATGTCTCTCACCACCTCCCATCACCTCCCATGTCTCTCACCACCTCCCATCCCCTCCCCATGTCTCTCCCCACCTCCCATCCCCTCCCCATGTCTCTCACCACCTCCCATCCCCTCCCCATGTCTCTCCCCACCTCCCATCCCCTCCCCATGTCTCTCCCCACCTCCCATCCCCTCCCCATGTCTCTCACCACCTCCCATCCCCTCCCCATGTCTCTCCCCACCTCCCATCCCCTCCCCATGTCTCTCACCACCTCCCATCCCCTCCCCATGTCTCTCCCCACCTCCCATCCCCTCCCCATGTCTCTCCCCACCTCCCATCCCCTCCCCATGTCTCTCACCACCTCCCATCCCCTCCCCATGTCTCTCCCCACCTCCCATCCCCTCCCCATGTCTCTCACCACCTCCCATCCCCTCCCCATGTCTCTCCCCACCTCCCATCCCCTCCCCATGTCTCTCCCCACCTCCCATCCCCTCCCCATGTCTCTCACCACCTCCCATCACCCCACATGTCTCTCACCACCTCCCATCACCCCCCATGTCTCTCACCACCTCCCATCCCCTCCCCATGTCTCTCCCCACCTCCCATCCCCTCCCCATGTCTCTCACCACCTCCCATCACTCCCCATGTCTCTCACCACCTCCCATCACCTCCCCATGTCTCTCACCACCTCCCATCCCCTCCCCATGTCTCTCCCCACCTCCCATCCCCTCCCCATGTCTCTCCCCACTTCCCATCCCCTCCCCATGTCTCTCACCACCTCCCATCACCCCACATGTCTCTCACCACCTCCCATCACCCCCCATGTCTCTCACCACCTCCCATCCCCTCCCCATGTCTCTCCCCACCTCCCATCCCCTCCCCATGTCTCTCACCACCTCCCATCACTCCCCATGTCTCTCACCACCTCCCATCACCTCCCCATGTCTCTCACCACCTCCCATCCCCTCCCCATGTCTCTCCCCACCTCCCATCCCCTCCCCATGTCTCTCACCACCTCCCATCCCCTCCCCATGTCTCTCCCCACCTCCCATCACCTCCCCATGTCTCTCCCCACCTCCCATCACCTCCCCATGTCTCTCACCACCTCCCATCCCCTCCCCATGTCTCTCACCACCTCCCATCCCCTCCCCATGTCTCTCACCACCTCCCATCACCCCCCATGTCTCTCACCACCTCCCATCACCTCCCCATGTCTCTCACCACCTCCCATCCCCTCCCCATGTCTCTCACCACCTCCCATCACCCCCCATGTCTCTCACCACCTCCCATCACCTCCCCCTGTCTCTCACCACCTCCCATCCCCTCCCCATGTCTCTCACCACCTCCCATCACCTCCCCATGTCTCTCCCCACCTCCCATCACCTCCCCATGTCTCTCACCACCTCCCATCAACCCCCATGTCTCTCACCACCTCCCATCACCTCCCCATGTCTCTCACTACCTCTCATCACCCCCCATGTCTCTCAACACCTCTCATCACCCCCCATGTCTCTCACCACCTCTCATCACCCCCCATGTCTCTCACCACCTCCAATCCCCTCCCCATGTCTCTCACCACCTCCCATCCCCTCCCCATGTCTCTCACCACCTCCCATCACCTCCCCATATCTCTCACCACCTCCCATCACCTCCCCATGTCTCTCACCACCTCCCATCACCTCCCCATGTCTCTCACCACCTCCCATCACCTCCCCATGTCTCTCTTCATTTCCCATCCCCTCCCCATGTCTCTCACCACCTCCCATCCCCTCCCCATGTCTCTCACCACCTCCCATCCCCTCTCCATGTCTCTCACCACCTCCCATCACCCCCCATGTCTCTCACCACCTCCCATCACCCCCCATGTCTCCCACCACCTCCCATCCCCTCCCCATGTCTCTCACCACCTTCCATCCCCTCCCCATGTCTCCCACCACCTCCCATCCCCTCCCCATGTCTCTCACCACCTCCCATCACTCCCCCATGTCTCTCACCACCTCCCATCCCCTCCCCATGTCTCCCACCACCTTCCATCCCCTCCCCATATCTCTCACCACCTCCCATCACCCCCCCATGTCTCTCACCACCTCCCATCACCTCCCCATGTCTCTCACCACCTCCCATCACCCCCCCATGTCTCTCACCACCTCCCATCACCCCCCCATGTCTATTCTCACTTTTCATCACCTCCCCATGTCTTGTGACCTCCCCATGTCTCTCACCACCTCCCATCACTCCCCCATGTCTCTCACCACCTCCCATCCCCTCCCCATGTCTCCCACCACCTTCCATCCCCTCCCCATGTCTCTCACCACCTCCCATCACCCCCCCATGTCTCTCACCACCTCCCATCACCCCCCATTTCTCTCACCACCTCCCATCACCTCCCCATGTCTCTCACCACCTCCCATCAACTCCCCATATCTCCCCTCACCTGCACGTGAGGCTGGGGTGGCATGGTAGGCGATGTAGAGGTGGAGTTCTCGGGCACAGACGCTCACGTGCATGGGCTGAACGCACAGCCCTGGGTGAAGGCATCGAGTCGACTTGGCGAGTCGCTCTCCGTCCGTACTCTCAAGTGGAACGCCCTTGAATATGACGACCGTTACAAGGTCAAGGCGCCACACCTGCACCGTCACCACCATCATTATCAGCAGCAGAATAATCGTCATCAATAACAGCATGAGATCACCATCATCATGATCATCAGCAACAGCAACATCAATACCAACTTCATTGCCTTCATCAACAATATCAGCAGCAGCAAAAGCATCATCATCAGGGGCATTACTATCACCATCATCTGCAAAACCATGGTCTATCCACTGTTGGATGAAGGCCTCCACATGCCTTCGCCATTCTTTACAATCATGAAATTCGACAATCCATCCCACTCCTCCGGATGAACTAACCTCATTGCCACATCTCTTTGGAGGTCGTGCTGTTGGCCATGTTCTCTCATTTGGCTGCCATTCATATTCAACGGCCATCATCTCTTCTTGATGTGCCAAGTCTACTTATATTGATGAAGTCCATGTGATGTCTGACTTTAATTGTTTCCTACGTCATTAAATGGTCACACGTTAAGAGCCCTTCTTCTTTCTTCACCTCCCAGTGCGCCTCTGTTCATCTCCCTCCCTTCCACTCCATTCACATTCGTTCTCCCCATTACTCCCATCGCCTCGCCGCATCTCAACATCTCCTCTCTCCTCCCCTCAAACTCCTTCCACCTCCTTTCTCCTGCCATCACTTCCCATTGCCTCCCCCTCACCTCCTGTCACCTCACTCGATCTTTGCTTTCCTCTCCACACCTCCTATCTCACCTCCCATCTCCACACCCCCCCCTCTCTTCTCCTTCACTCACCTCTCTTCTCCTAAATTCTCCCTTCCCCTCCCATAATCTCCCTTTACGAACTTCACATAACTTTACTTCCCATTGCCTCTCCGTTACTTGACTCATCCCCTCTCTTCTCCACGCCTTCCTTCAACTGCCATCACTTTACCTCTCTGTCCCCACCCTGCTCTCCTCCCAGCACTGCCTTCATCTCTCTTTTACCTTTCACCACCTCATCCCTCTCACCCACCGCCACCCATCACCTTGTCGGCCTGCCGTAGGCAATCGATGCGACGCATCTTGCCCTTTTGGTCGGGGTTGGAGAGCACGCAGCAGGGCTGCTTGCGTCCCGTCACGGACAGAACGAAGTCTTCACGGCACTCGGGACGGATGTCCTTGCGGAGCTTGGCCAGGAGGCGGGAGGCCCACTTCTGTTTCACCTCGGTCTTTTCGGCGAGGAGCTCATCCTTCGCCGCCCGTTCCTCTGCGCTTGACATCCGCCGGTCGTGCTTCTTGAGGTGCTTACGTTTGCGAGCTTGAAGGTGGAACCAGGCGAACGAGAAGGAGCGCACGTGGGGCAGCAGGGCCTCGATAAACGGGTGATATTCATCCTGATGCTGTTAAAAGAGGCGAGGAAAGGAAAGAGGAGGTGAGGGATGGTGACAGGAGATGATGGAGAGGTGACGGGAAGTGAAGATGATAGGTAAGGGGAGATGATGAGAGGTGAAGGGAGGTATTGGGCGGTGAGCAGTGGCGAGACAAATGATGGTAAGCATACAGAGGTGACAGGTGAGGGGAATTGCCGGGAGGTAGAAGACAAGAGGCAATGGGCGATTAGAAGAGGTGAAAGGAGATGTCAGCGAGTGACGGGAGGTGAAAAGAGGTGACGAGAGATAAAGGCCAGTGATGGAAGGTGAAGTGCGAGAGGGATACGGACAGGGTTGGCATTATATAGCATACACATTACACATGTCATACAAATACACAGATACAGAAAAAGACAAAGATTCCCCATATAGCTCGAACAGACTTTTGAGGCAAGCGCCGTTAGCGAGCACCTGTGAAGGCTGGCATGGCACACGAGGGGGGTAGGTGGCCAGCATCCCACCCGACCGCCTTTGTCTCCCCAGTGACAAGGTTTACACATTGCACCAGGTACTAATTTGAGGTCGAGTCGACCTAGGGGATGCCCAGGACCGGTTCAGATAATCGTCACTGGTGTTGGTCGTGAGCGGAAATCGAACTCGGGTCACCAGGTTCGTAGTGCAGCAAGGTAACTGCTACGCTACCGCTCCCAACACACACAGATAATGACAAATGCGCGCACACACACAAAGACAGCAATCACCCTGAAAAGTCTTATAGACTGTTGGGGCAACTGCAGTTAGTGAGATCTTCCACAAAGCTCACACATGCTGATCCACAAACACACACATCCACACCAAAGGCCAAACAACTCTGGCATAGCCTCATAGACTTTTACGGCAAGTGCTGCAAGTGAGCACCTATTAAGGGTGGCACGGCACACGAAGGGTGGTCTGACTAACCCAACATCCGACCGTCTTTACTTCCTGAGTGCTGATGTTCATACACCGCACCAGGTACTTATTTAAGCTACGTCGATCTGCCGAAGGCCCAGAACGGGTTCAGACACCACTCGCCACTGATGTTATTCATAGCCAGGAATTGAACTCAGGTCCCCTGGTTCCTAGTGCAGCCCATGAACCACTGCACCACACAAGTACACATATGCACACACAAACAACAGCAAAAAGCTTCATACATTTTTTTGCTAAAGCTTTCTGGCCAAAAACACAGCTAAGTCCTGCCAACGACGCAAAAAATGAGAGCGTGTTTTTTTTATTTTCTCCAAATGATCGCAGCCAAAAAAATGTATGTACATAAAAAAACTAAAATCCTAACATGGCTTTGGAAAGCCAGTGCACAAGGAAGAAAAGATGGCTCGCACGTATACACAAAAAAGCACATCTCGCTCTCTCACCATGCCGTCTTCTTTTGACGAAGTCCGTTGCAAAATAATTAGGCTACGTAAATGAAAATCGACGATTGGGTTTTACGATCAGGATATTGTATTTACAAGTTTTTTTTATGCCGCAAAACCATTTAGGTGTTTAATGGCGATGGCAGAGATCGTCAGAGAGAAGTTCGGCGCGAGACGAGGAATAATTTTGCTGCCGGCACGAATCTTGGCGTCGATTCAGAGTGATTTTGGCAGCGACCGCAGGTTAGGCAAGGGCAAGGATTGGCTCTGGCGCTAGGCCGTGGTTGCAAGCGGGCTTTGGCGAAATGCGAGATCGAGATTTTTCAAAAAGAAACTTCCGAGATTAAATTTGAACATCCTCAAAATACTCGATGGCTTCAATGCGAGCCGACATGGAATATTATCGCTTACTCGGTGTGAATGTTTTAAATCCGCTTACCGTCTAAGCGAAAACAGACACGCACACACTTACCCCAAACATGGCGGACTTCTCTAAAATCATCGACATTTTTTGGCACTAGGAGTGAGGGACCCTGGGTGGAAAATGCAGAGATGGGGAAAAAATAAATGAAATGTTACAAATTGCTAGCAGTATAAGTTGGTGTATGTTTTTGAAATGCACAGAACATTATAAATAGTCTAACGAGCAACGTTATTTGTGTATTATGTGGATTGTTTTACAATGTGTAATGCAGAGTGTACAAATGTCGAAAAATATTCAGTAGGAGCAATTGACAGGCAGACAGGCATACCAACAAAAGGCTTCAAAGTCAAAGAATTACTAAAAAGACTGATAGGCAGACAGATAAAATGAAAGACATATATATAATAAAAAATGGACAGATAAAAACCCACCCACAAATGTTAAATGAATATGTCCATGTATGAAGACACAGAGGCATACATACAAGACACAAACACACAGATGTAAAAATGTTCGTGCACAGACATGCATGTGTGTGTTTCCACGTGTGCAAGTGCATCATATAAGTATACATGTACATAAAGTATGTTGTACATACGCAACATACTCTAAATACTTACATTATGTGTGCATGCATATGAGTGTGAATGCATATATAAAAGTGTATATAACTACGTATATTTGGCATGTATATCTTCTTTCTTTACAGCTCCTGTTTAATCCACTGCTGGCTGAAAGCTCCGATCATGCCTCCGAGGTCAGGGTGGCCCGTGTCTGTCTAAGTGTATATGCGTACGTGTCTGTACACGTGAGTGCACTTTACCCTGCATGTAAGTATGTGTGTCTATGTATGTGTCTGCACATGTATTTGTTTATACCTGTTTGTGTTTCCGTGTTCATGTGTGCATGGGTGCGTATATACAGTGTGCGCGAGTCTGTGTGCGCGAGAGACTCATTGCATAACTAGACAAGTTGCCCTGCCAAATAATGCCTGGGTCAGTTATGTAACGGCGCAGACGGGGCTTTTATACATATACAGTACACGTGTGTGTGTCTATACACACACACACACACATTTACAGAGATATACGTACGCACATACTATATATCGACACGTACATACACACATATAGTCACACATTGAGTACTAACAAATAACAATAATTAAAATTCCTTTGTCAAACCAATAGACCACTTCTGCATGAAAGCCTCTCTCCCAAGCCGTGTCAATCATTGGGGGCTTCCTGATCATACTTCACCAAGCTGGTCATGCCGGTTGATGAAGAGGGGGTTTGCCTAGGACTGGTTAAGATTTCACTTGTAAATGATGTTTGCCATGGCCGGGAATCATATGGAGGTCACCGAGTTCAAGCGAAGTGTGATAGACAAAAATCCCCCCCATATAGCCTTAACAGACTGTTGGGGCAAGTGCTGTTCGCGAGCACCTATGAAAGCCGGCACGGCACACAAGAGGGTGGGTGGCCAGCACCACGCCCGGCCACCTTTGTCTCCCCAGTGCAGATGTTTACACACAGCACCAGGTATTCATTTTAGGCTGAGTCGACCTAAGGGAGGTCCAGAACCGGTTCTGATCATCGTCACTGGTGTTGGCCATGAGCGAGAATCGACCTCGGGTCGCCGGGTTCGTATCACAGTGTTCTAACAGCTACACTACCGCTCCCTACTCAGTATGATAACCACTGTGTCACAAACACAGTATAATTGTACATGTACACATACTGTATATATACAAATACACACAAATAAATACACAAACACACGTAAATATGTACATACAAACACAAGTATACAGTGTGCCTTATATACATGTCCACACATAGAAACAAGTACACATGCATGTACTAACGATACAAGGGCTGATAATAATTACCACGTTTCTTGCATTGAGCGAAGTTATAGGAACTTGGGAAAAGAGCTGGAGGGGGGGGGTATCCAAAGTCGAGCAGGGTGAGGAATGGAGGAGGAAGAGAAAAACATTGTGTTCCTCCAAACAGGGTAGCTCAACAGAGTACGGGTGAGAGGAAACAGTCAATCTGCTTGATATGGCCCTTGACATTGTCGGGAGGTATCAAGGGGGTGACAACAATAATTGTCGTGGTCGGTAGTAACGATAAATGAGCGACAGGCAAGTGACCGATCAACTGAACTCCTTCATGGTGGATTCTATGAAGCAGTCAAGTAGGAACTCCAAGCTCCTGCCCAGATGTTACATCCACACTCTCAACCTTGGCCAAAACTGTGCCTTGCACAGCAGTGGCGACTAATCAGAGAGCTTGAGAAGGATCTGGCCCATAAATACCTCCCCGGATCCAGATTAGCAACGTGGCCGATCCACGACAGGTCAGTGGAAACGGTCGTGCAACGGATTCATTACAGATAAGACCAACACAGTCAAGCTTGATCAGATGGGCTGAGGGACTGACAACCGTACATGATAAAATCATGGACTACGCTTTTATTGTGGAAGTGACGAGTCCCCCTCACCCCACCCAGGGGCTCATTTCAAGTTGCTTATTGACTGATAGCGAAACATCAGCACATTGGGCAGCTCACAGTCTTTACTTTGTGTGGTTTAAATGAAGGGTAAAGTCATCCATCAATGACTTGAAGATAACAAGTCATTTATGGAGATAAAAATGTAGGAGATTAAACGGATCTTTATGAAATTACAGAGGTGACGGTTTCAGACTGATTACCTTCAACAACTGCACATATGAACAGGCAAGTAAGAAAGCTAGAGATCCCTGCTTGCATAGAATGGGGCTTGGTAATACATATGATAACAGACACAATATAGTTGTTTAGAAATGTCGAGAGCAATCCTCATGGACTCTCCAAAACTCTCGAAGCTAGAGCTCTACATGTAAGTAGAGCTCTAGCTTCTGGCAAATAAGGATCCAATGGTGTAAATGCTTACCCCGAGCTCTCATACTCTGATGGTGCATTGTCCTTGAGTTGTGCGCCTTTTGGCGTCATCTGGTCCAACCCATATGAGACTAGGCTCGAAGGAAAGCTGTCTCGGGTGTGGACCAATCAACTTCAAGGACAGTGCACATTATCAGAGTTATGTTCTTTTGTTTGTATTATGACTGCAGGTATTGCGGTCTATGCAAACATGACTCCTTGCAAAAAGGTGTCAGTTTTGTTGCCAGATAGAAGGGTAAAGAACCAATTATCATATTTTTACTGGCAAATGAGGTCCCCATAGTGTAGATGCTTGCCCCGAGCTCTCATACTCTGATGGTGCATTGTCCTTGAGTTGTGCGCCTTTTGGCGTCATCTGGTCCAACCCATATGAGACTAGGCTCGAAAGAAAGCTGTCTCGGGTGTGGACCAATCAACTTCAAGGACAGTGCACATTATCAGAGTTATGTTCTTTTGTTTGTATTATGACTGCAGGTATTGCGGTCTATGCAAACATGACTCCTTGCAAAAAGGTGTCAGTTTTGTTGCCAGATAGAAGGGTAAAGAACCAATTATCAAAGATGTCTATATACAGGGGGTAGCGGTAGTGAAGTGGTTAGCACACTGCGCTATGAACATGGTAGCTTGAGTTTTATTCCTAGCAATTGATACATTTTAGGGGGCCAGTGATATGTTGAACCAGTCTTGGTAACCCCTTCACCAACCTGAACTGACTAGTGTGGTGAAGTACAGTCAAGTAACGAACAGCCATGGGGAGGCTTTCTCCAGCAGTGGATTTCCAAAGGACTGTCATTTATAATTAACTTCGCACATACATTTAAATAGGACACAGCTTTCATCACTGCCAGAACACCCCACAAAAAATGGTATGTCCCAGCCACGTTTACAGGTCCCTTGCACGGTTACGCCCAGCAAACTTCTACGCTTTATCCAGCAGCAAATCACACAAGTGAGGGTGGGCGGACCCCAGCCAACTGCCCGTGGAATAAAGACATCAATGGAAAATCCACGTTTGATTGGCCATGGCTAGCACAACCGAGATGCAGCTGCTCTCTATTTGGGGGGGCACCACTCAAGGTGTAGCATGGCCACCTCCACAGCAGTTGTGAGTTGGGGGGGGGGAGGTCACAATCGACAATATGTCCTGCAGAAGGGGTCGAGGCAAGGTGGGAGAAAAACGGAGGACAGGGTGAATGGCAGCCAAGTGGATAGCTTGGAGGGCGACTATGTCCATAGGACACACAATTCGCTGCCCATGGTGCCAGCACCAACCTCCAGTGTTCTACCATCACTCGCTAGTTCAAAGTGCTGTAGATCAGAGCTCCCGGAAATTTACACATATGTACAAGTGCCGAGACACATGTGTGGAGATGCCCACTTTGGCAGCCGTACCGGTAACTCCAATGGCCAGTGATTCCCAGACACAGAGTCTGTATGTTCACTTATGGCGTTGACGAGCAGCAATCATTTGCTCAAATATCAGAAATGGCCATAAATGGCTCTTCTGGCAGAATCGTGTCTATAGATAGAAAACTGATCTGTTTTTGATAAACTGATATTATGAATATAAAATAAGACAAGAACATTTTGTTTTTACCTTTGTATGCCTTAAAATGTCTGCACCTGAAATATTTGGAAGGTGCCAAATCTGTATATGGACATGATCCTAGAATGACAACAGCCACTATTCTTCACTGCACAGCAGTGATATCACCATTGTACTCGTGCAAAGCTAGGCACACTACAAGGCCATGTGAGGTGGCAAAAGTCTGCAGGGAAGGTCGAGGGACAAGCCCAAACGTTATGGTTTAACTGGCTAGAGTGACTAACCGATGTACCACTAGCAATCTCCACTAGACTTAGTCTTTTAGCCACCCACACTCTAGGTTTTGATAACTCCATGACGACAATGGACTCCTCTACTCCTACATCTCCATATCCCATTCCAATAGATCAGCACAGAGTGAAGATGCTCACATAAAATGGACAGAGCACCATTCACACTCGGGTGGCCCCCAACCTCTCCTAACCTTTAGTGAGCACACGAGAGGATTGCTTATGTCAGGTGGGTATCTTTACCAACCACATTGACCAAGGTGGTGAAATACCCTAGCCTGAACCACGGTCCTCAGGTCACCTGTATGTTGAACTTAGTTCGCACCGTATATATATCCAACCATGCTAATCGGAGCCAACCGTGTTAATCAGAGGTGCAACTCTCATTTCATAAAACATAACGGCAGCAGGGTAGGTGTAGGTTTAATCGATGTTAGGAACCACTGGGAAAGAACAGGACGCCTTCTTGATTTGACCATTTCTACAAGCAATGCACGGACCCTATCAGAAGAATAAAACCTTGTTGAAAGAGACAATTGAAATTTAAAATGGGGACAAAGATGGCAATAGTAAGTTGAGAAGGAAAGAGACTCATCTTATTGGTTCTTTCGGTAAAATCACGTAGAAGGGAAATAATAAAATAATAAAAATTAAACATAAAATACAATTCTCACGACGTTTCGGCCACAACGCAAGCAGCCGTCCTCAGGTGAAGAACAGGTCTGTCGGAAAGACAGACAGCGTCTTTCCGACAGACCTGTTCTTCACCTTTCTACGTGACTTTACCGAAAGAACCAAGAAGATTAATCCCTGCAGTCACGAAAGCTTTAAAATCGAAAAGAAAAAAGACCTCCGTCGTTCTGGAAAGTGGAAACATTATCTATCATTCAGGGAGAGTTGATAGTAATTATGGAGGAGTGGCATGCTTAGTCCAAAAGTAGAGATTCAGGTTTCAAGTGTATATCGGATAGATTTACCCAACTAACATTAAGGCTCTTTAAAAACTCCCAAGTTAAAGATACTTCAAGTATATGCTGCAATGAGTCGTGAAGTTAAGTATGCCAAATGTATGAAGACATGTACTAACTTCTAAATGCATTAGACTGCAATAGGTGACTGACACATACACTGGTAAAAAGGTAGAGATTTGAGGATCATCAGCAGGTTTGGAATTGGAGTGATGAGTGTCTATTAGAGTTTGCAGCCAGTAAAGACATTAACATATTTATCACCTTTACAAAAAGGGATGTAAGAATTGGATGTGGAAAAGCCTCATTGATAAACTAAGGAACGACATTGACTTGACTCCAATGGATAACCCCCAGTATGTCAGGGATATATTTCTTCTCATAAGATTCAACACAGGAAGCAATCACACACATGTGCAATGCAAGTTGCACTTTAACATAGCCAAAGTCGGGTCTGAACAAGTTCCAGGCAAAAATTATTATTCCACATCTAAAATCTAGGCCAGAAGGCTTATAGACTAGCTCTATCATATGTACTAGCCTTTTGCCCATCCAAGGCACGGGTGTATTGCAGTAAATCTGAAACTTGCAAGCGAAAAGCAGACCGCGACGTGATATTCATTGCATCAATGCGTGTGCAATTTGTAAGGGTGCGGTGACACAGACCTATTTCATTTTAAGGTTATAATCCCTTGTTCATCACGACGTCCTTTTTACTTTGATGTCTCAATAGCGTTACAGAGATCGCGTGACGTGGGGGTTCTGCCTTTGTAGAGAGGGTTGTAAGTTGACGCCAAGGAGGGGGGAGGAGGCGCCTCGCCCCCCCATGTGGAGTGACGTCAGCCGCTAATTATTATGAATGGGGGGGGGGTGTCCATTTGGAGGACGTCACCTGCTCATGATTATTAATGAGGGGACCTGTTCGATGTGGAGTGACGTCACCTGCTCATGATTATTAATGAGGGGGGCTGGTCGACGTGGAGTGACGTCACGAGTGTTGCACACAGACATTCTTGGCTCAGTATAGTATGTAATGCTTTGAGGGCCAAACTGATCAAATGGATGTTAACACTTTACATAATGCAATACTGTAAATAGCACAGTAATGTGGTTGGTGCATTGTAAGTGGGAGATAAGTTAAAAAGCAGGGAAGATAATACATCCACGCACAAACATATTGAGAACAGGGAGAGACGTAAACCCTCGACAAATTATGAAATGCACAGAAGTCTGTGAAATAATTAAGAATGAGAAATAAATAATCGGAGAACACAACACATATGTGATCAAAGACATTGTAGCAAGCAAAGGTAGCAGGAAAACAGTGAAATGGTTGACAATAAGCATTGAACGGCAGCCCTGAAAGATAGACGGAATCATACCACGTGACACAATCTTGAAATTAATTATCTAAAAATCATGATTCTTACTAGGGCTGAACCATTTGGGGAAAATATCTAATTGTGATTTTTCTGACAGATATTGCGATTGCAATTTGATTTGCGATTAAGTAAAGCTTCAGTTCAATATTCACTGTGTAATAGATTTAAAACATGTGATGGAGCATTACCACATGGTACCATCAAAATATGAACTGCTCGAGATATTGTAATGGAAGTATGAGAACTTAAAAGATATGAACTGCTTCCAACATGTATTTATTAAAAAAAAATTTTAATAGAACAATTAAACATAGAATTGTTAAGTTAAATAAATAATTAAACAATTCTAATAAGAAAGTAATAGGACTTTTCAAATCGCAAAAAATCGCCGACTTTGCGATTTGCTAATCACATTGTTTCATATTGCGATTTCACTTTGAAATCGATTAATCGTTCAGCCCTAATTCTTACATTGAGTATATACCATCATACACAATGCAGAATCTTCACATGGATGTAAACATTTTATACACGTCATTAATATTAGGATATAGCCCAGAAATTAGACCAGCTCCTCAGGTGAAGAGGAGAAAGATCCAAATGTCACACTTGAAGAAGTCAACTATTGCCCCCTTTTCACAATTCCAGAATTTCGGCGGCCTACGGCGGGGAGGGCTTCTCGCCTCCAATGTCCTCTACTTCCCCTACTGATTATTGTATGTCAGTAGTATCAAAGTCTAGAGTCAGTAGATACTACTGACTACTACTGACTACTACTATAGAGTCAGTAGATACTACTGACTACTACTATAGAGTCAGTAGATACTATTGAACATCCTCTACACTACTATAGAGTCAGTATAAACTATTGCTTATTGTATGTAGGGTGTGTAGGCATGTATAGAATCAGTAGATAGTCGATACTACTATGTTGGGTATGAAATAAATTGATTTTGATGGAGGGGGATCGACAATTTTTGGAAACCTGTTGGATCAACTTTTTACCCCTACATCTGGGGGGTCCACTTTCTATAACTTTTTGATTCAGTCCTTGTGAAAGGTTCTTATATAAATTTATAGTTCACGGACAAACAAAACGCCGGACGCTTATAATAGACGCAAAAAGGCAAGCTCCTGGACCTGATATTTTAAGGGTTATATAAAGCAGCGGGACCGGTTGTTATAACAACATTTGACCTGTATAAAGTACCACATTTAATAGAGTACCTCAACAGAGTAATACTTCAATGGGACCTCCTCCTCAAAAAGTGTGATAATACATGACTTTGAGATAAACCAGCTCATTGTCCTCTCATTGCACTTATATAACATTGTTAGCAGAAGCCATGATAGACGTCTATCGTGTTAATAACGCCACCCAATCGCACGGTCCGAGAAGGCTTTTATGAAAAGGTTTCTCTACAGTTTACCACACAATGCAGTGGGCATCAGATTTCTGTAAAGGACGAATGAATATCCAATTTTGTATTCACATCTAAATGAACCCTCACAAAAGACGACGATGAAAAGACACTCGATTCGGGGTGGAAACTTCATGCGAGACACCAAAAACGCTCACAAACCAACGCAGATATGAAAATATAGAAATATACAGTATGGCATTTAAACATAATAGCATTGTTTCACTAAATCTGAACTCAACTGAGATTGCATGAAGTGCAGCCTTTAACTATGAATATATCTATTGTTAAACTCTGGCTTGCAACTATAAAATTCCATCCTACGCCTATTAAATTCGATCTATTCGAAAGCTTAACAGTATATATAGACTGTACCACGCACTGTACAGTCTATAATGCCATGCATGGGACACACGTGTACAGAAGGTATAAAACTCGTCGTCACAAACACAACATGTGCTCACTTACCTCTGAAATATTTACACAAATATTAAATCACCGCCACCACCACCACCACCACTAAGAGTTTACTTGCAAATGAGAAATTCAGCCTAACACTGTATATAATAGCGCACACACACACACATGCAGAGAGACTGTCAGCAGACAAATTCCATCAATAAAGATAACATTATTGGCGTGTTATTTGTCGTTTAAGGCCGCGGCTTCGCTCTCGATGATGTCAAATCGACGGCTGTTAAAAACCAAACATTTAAAATCACGAACGCCAGGACGCCGCTTACCGTACGCGCTGTTTGCGAAAGCCTATTTAGTGAAGTTAAAACTCACCGCAATTTTACGCTGCCCCGTGACGTCACCTCATGAATATTAACGACCGCCCCGTGACGTCACCTCATGAATATTAACGACCGCCCCGCTGACGTCAGCCTCATGAATATTATTGGCGGGTGGGGGGGTGGGTGGAGTCGCCGCCGCCGGTGACGTCACCGATATTAATTATTCATGAGCCGTGCGTGGTTACGTCACGCATAGTAATGAGCGCGAGGTGACGTTGACCCCGCCCCCCCCCGTTGTTATATAACGGTGAGGAATGTGACGATTCCACAACGGCGATTTAGAAATTCCTTAGCGAATCGATTCGCTGACTAAATTTTTTAAAAATTTTTTTAAAGGATTTCTCCACAACTCTGGCCTGATAATTCTAAGTTGGCTTTATGATTTGTTTTATGATTTAAACTTTATGATTTAAACGTTTGTTGGTTTACTTTCCCAAACAACACCGGTGACGCAGCCTTACCGATTGGCCGTGTCCGGCGGCTTTAACAACACGTTGATATTTAAGCGATCGAACCCACGAAAATCCTCTGTTATGGATAACATTGGTCGCGAAAGCCTGCGTGTTAAGCCGATTCGAATCACTCTTACTTCACCGCGCCAATCGTTTGAACGCCAAACACAGCACCGTAAGAGAATCGAATATCGATTCCCATAAACGCTGGAATCGTTTAATCCGATTAATAAAATTCGACTTCCAACATTGGATGAATTCACCGATGGCATTGAATAACGAACAGGGCCCAATGCAGTGGGCATCTAAGTTCTACTTAATAAAATATAATTGTGATAACTAATTTTCATGTTTAACTATTTGATTATTTAAATTTACTAAGGTCACCTTTTATTTATTCCATGAAGAATCATTTAGTTCTGTTTTAGTGATTTTAACACGTTGTCTGCGTCGACCCGTGGTTGTAAAGCGACGTAGGAAAATAGATTTTAGACATTTTCTTATAACTGTGGCTCCGTCTCGTTTAACGTCTGGGCCTTCTTGTTCGCTTTACGTTAAACGTCGCATATTGCACACCTCTTCTTGGTTCTTTCGGTAAAATCACATAGAAGGGCAATAATAAAATAATAAAAATAAAACATAATAAAATTCCCTTCTACGTGACTTTACCGAAAGAACCAAGAAGATGAATCCCTGCAGTCACGAAAGCTTTAAATCGATATTGCATACCTGTCAACCCCTTAGGGACCGTCCATAAATGACGTCACGCACCTGGGGGGGGGGGGGTGAGAAATGTGACGTCACATAAAAATGCGCAACTTTAAATATAAACAACACGTTCTAAAGTTCTGCTTAATAAAATATAATTGTGATAACTAATTTTGATTAATTTTTTACTATTTGATTATTTAAATTTACTAAGGTCACCTTTTATATATTCCATGAAGGAGCATTTTGCTTCTCCATCGGGGAATGGAGAAGCATAAATTTAGTTTTTAACATGTAGGACTTTTGTGACCAATATTCATGTTTTTAAAGGTTATTTAGAGTTAGATTGGGTCAAGAATAAATGTTGTCGTTAACCCACCGCCACGGCAGATTGGTTAAGGTTCGTCAATTCTGGTAAATTTTAAATGTCTTTGGGTTTTCTCTCCCAACACACTCCGGTGTGCTTTACTAGTAACTAATTGTCACGTGTTTAGGTGACACAACTTACTAATTGGCTGTGTCGGGTGGTGGTGAGTTAACGACACATTTATATTTATTAGACCTAAACCCCCCCCAATAAAACTACTTTATTATGACAAGGTACTCCTTGATGGCCGATGTGGTTGATGGGATGCTTATTTATTGTCACTCGTTTGTACAAATTCCAAGTTAATCGGTTCCCACACGCACCGATCAATTCACTAATGTATTAATACTCTTTGGTTTTTTCGGTAAAGTCACGTAGGTATAAATACATCACTATTTATTTTAATAGTGATTTATTTTAAGTGATTTATTTTATACCTACGTGACTTTGCCGAAATAACCAAAGAGCATGGATTCCAGCAGTCACGAAAGCTTCAAATCAAGATTAATGTATTAATATTTGTGTAAAGATGGACCGTTCCTTGTCAAGAGTGGCTTTTGTATCCCAGACAATAAAGCTTTGGCAAGTCCCGAGTCTTTTTAAGAGCTTAAAACACGATTAACAATTAGTTCAAAACTAACAATGTTACCTTGTTCACAAAACACGACATTACAATTTGAAATGTCAAATACTGGTAGTAATATTACACGAATCGCTTGGTCAATAAATACAACAAATACACACATTTACCTTTTAAATGATAAAATTCGCGTGAATTTAACACTAGCACGCGGTGCCACACGTGGTTCGGTTCATTTCCGCCGATTCATTTACAGTATTCATTGCAGTGCCACGTGGTTGGGTGTGTGCTCAGTCACTGATGAAGGGGAGCGGAAGTGTAGGCCTGTCCCTGAGACCTCCTGCACCTAGCCTGGCACAGTAGGGGGCACAGCTGGTGGTGCATCTACCGGTCATCTCAGTCAGCCAACCTATGGCACCTGCAGGGTCTGTCCCGTGACCTCCTGCACCTAGCCTGGTACAGTAGGGGGCACAGTGGTGCATCTACCGGTCATCTCAATCAGCCAACCCATGGCACCTGCTGGGTCTGTCCCGAGACCTCCTGCACCTAGCCTGGCACAGTAGGAGGCACAGCTGGTGGTGTATCTACCGGTCATCTCAGTCAGCCAACCCATGGCACCTGCTGGGTCTGTCCCGAGACCTCCTGCACCTAGCCTGGCACAGTAGGGGGCACAGTTTTGCATCTACCGGTCATCTCAGCCAACCCATGGCACCTGCAGCGTCTGTCCCGTGACCTCCTGCACCTAGCCTGGCACAGTGGTGCATCTACCGGTCATCTCAATCAGCCAACCCATGGCACCTGCTGGGTCTGTCCCGAGACCTCCTGCACCTAGCCTGGCACAGCAGGGGGCACAGCTGGTGGTGCATCTACCGGTCATCTCAGTCCGAGTTCGATTCCCACTCACGGCCACCAACACCACCGGTGACGATTACCTGAACCGGTCCTGGACCTCCAGCTAGGTCGACTCAGCCTCAAGTGAGTACCTGGTACGACGTGTAACACATCGCCACTGGGGAGACAAAGGCGGCCGGGCGTGGTGTTGGCCTTTATAGGGTGCTGCTCGCTAACAGCACTTGCCCCTACAGTCTGTTCAGGCTACACGGGGGAGCTTTGTCTTCAGCCACTAGAGGCTGAAAAAAAATCCCCACTACGAATTCCCCCCTTAACACTTAACAACATTCAAGTATTTTGATTTAAAGCTTTCGTGACTGCAGGGATTCATATTATTGGTTCTTTCGGTAAAGTCATCACGTAGAAGGGAAATAATAAATTAATAATAAAATAATCTTACAAAAAATTGAGAATTTTTATATTTGTATTTTTTCCCTTCTACGTGACTTTCCCGAAAAAAACCAAGAATAACAACATTCAAGTAATTAAACACTCGAATCTTGAATCGCGACTGCATTGCAGGCGGGTTTCGTCGCAATGGAAGCAGCGTCCAGCGTCTCCCCCTAGCGGCGAAACACTCAACTGCAAGCCCAGCCAAGAGCCAAGCCAAGAGCCACGCTTCGCCAGCCACGTGTTTATTCCACTGCTGGATGAAGGCCTCCCCCCGAAGTTGTCGCCTTTTTAAATCCTTTATATTAAGTTCACTTGCTTGCGTGCTTTCGGTCGTTTTTTAACCCACTTCCCGTGATCCAATCGAGCTGACATTTTGCACACAGACTCGTTGTGCGTGACAATTAATTTTCGTGAAAATTTTTTTCCAAAATTTTACACTGTTTAGGGAATTTTTTAAAAATATTTAATTACCAATTGCTTAATGTTAACAGACAATCATCTGACCCATAGGTGGCAGCCATCTCAAGCCAGAGGACGAGAGGACTCTAGCCGCCACGCATATAAAGGATTTAGAGTGAAAAACTTTGTTTTTACGGGTTAATTTTGTATTATTTTACACGCATTTATTTAACTCACTCCGTCTGTTGTCGTATCCTCAAAAAAACTTCTAAATAAAAACGTTACCCACTTCCCAATGTGCTATCGACTGCAAACTTGGTATAGGTATGTCATATTGATGACAATACTATATTCTATCATAAAAAATCCAAAACATTTTAAAACATTTTACACGCTTTTATTTAACTCACTCCGTCTGTTGTCGTATCCTCAAAAAAACTTCTAAATAAAAATTTTACCCACTTCCCAATGTGCTATCGACTGCAAACTTGGTATACTTGTGTCATACTGATGACAAGACTATATTCTATCATTAAAATTGAAATGTTTTTTTTACATTTTACACGCTTTTTTATTTAACTCACTCTGTTGTCGTATCCTCAAATCTTGTAACTCAATTTCAACCGTCTTCCCAATGTCATATCGACTGCAAACTTGGTATAGGTATGTCATACTGATGACAAGACTATATTCTATCATTGAAAATTAAAAATATATATTTTTTAACAATATTTTTTACGGCTCTAATTGTCCACGCTCAACTCACGTTGCCTGTAAATCACCACGTGGTCCCTTACGTCACTGCAAGCCTCGGGGAGCCACGCCCAGGGGCGGGGGATGTGGAAGGAGGGGAGGGGCGATGGGGGAAGGGGGCATGGGGAGGGGCAGCTCGGACAGTGCATTTCATTAAAGCGTGTTTTTTTTTAAGTATTTTGAAATATTTTTTTCTCCCACGGTCTCACGATACCAGCGTACATCTGGCACGCCAGATGACCCCATTGTTATTTCATCTCCTCGTTCGATGCCCGCTTTTCGACGCGTTTGTTCAGCCTTTGGCTTCCATTCCGTCCGTTCGTCTTAACCACCGATCAACGACATCCCCCCTTAGCTACGCGGCCTCCCGAAAGCCCTCTTTTATTCATCACCTATAGCCACGATCTATCCACTGCTGGAGGACGGCCTCCCCGAGTTTCTCTAATCTCACGATAACACAACATTAGCATGTGGTCGGAACCGTTGACCTAACGTTTCATGTTTAGCTGTAGCTTGTTTTCCCACTAAATTCACA